GCATGGGACAGGAGGAGCACAGACGGACAGGTGGGGGGCAGCATGACAGGGGGCATGGGACAGGATAGGGGCAGCGGGACAGAAGGAGTGCAAAGGGACAGGTGAGGCGCAGTGGGACAGGAGGAGCGCAGTGGGGCAGGTGAGGCGCAGTGGGACAGGAGGAGTGCAGAAGGATAGGTGAGGGGCAGTGGGACAGGAGGAGCGCAGAAGGACAGGTGGGGGGCAGTGGGACAGGTGAGCGGCAGTGGGACAGGAGGAGCGCAGTGGGACAGGTAAGGGGGAGTGGGACAGGAGGAGCGCAGTGGGGCAGGTGTGAGGGGCAGTGGGACAGGAGGAGCACAGAGGGACAGATGGGGGGGCAGCGTGACGGGGGGGCATGGTACAGGATCAGGGCAGCAGGACAGGAGTAGCACAGTGAGACAGGTGAAGGGCAGTGGGACAGGAGGAGCGCAGTGGGGCAGATGAGGGGCAGTGGAACAGGAGGAGCACAGAGGGACAGATGGGGGGGCAGCGTGACGGGGGGGCATGGTACAGGATCAGGGCAGCAGGACAGGAGTAGCACAGTGAAACAGGTGAAGGGCAGTGGGACAGGAGGAGCGCAGTGGGACAGGAGGAGCGCAGTGGGACAGGAGGAGTGCAGAGGGACAGGTGAGGGGCAGTTGGACAGGAGAAGCGCAGAAGGATAGGTGAGGGGCAGTGGGACAGGAGGAGCACAGAGGGACAGGTGGGGGACAGCGTGACAGGGGGTATGGGACAGGATCGGGGTAGCAGGACAGGAGGAGTGCAAAGGGACAGGTGAGGGGCAGTGGGACAGGTGAGGGGCAGTGGGACAGGAGGAGCGCAGAGGGACAGATGGGGGGCAGCGTGACGGGGGGGCATGGGACAGGATCAGGGCAGCAAGACAGGAGTAGCGCAGTGGGACAGGTGAGGGGCAGTGGGACAGGTGAGGGTTAGTGGGACAGGAGGAGCGCAATGGGACAGGTGAGGAGCAGTGGGACAGGAGGTGCGCAGTGGGACAGGTGAGGGGCAGTGGGACAGGAGAAGGAGCACAGAGGGACAGGAGGAGCGCAGAGGGATAGGTGGGGGGGCAGCGTGACGGGGGGCATGGGACAGGATCGGGGCAGCTGAACAAGAGGAGCGCAGAGGGGCAGTGGGACAGGAGGAGCGCAGAGGGATAGGTGAGGGACAGTGTGACAGGGGCATGGGACAGGATCGTGGCAACTGGACAGGAGCGCAGAGGAACAGGTGAGGGGCAGTGGGACAGGAGGAGCGCAGTGGGACAGGTGAGGGGCAGTGGGACAGGAGGAGCGCAGTGGGACAGGATCGGGGCAGCTGGACAAGAGGAGCGCAGAGAGACAGGTGAGGGGCAGTGGGACAGGAGGAGCATAGAGGGACAGGTGACGGGCAGTGGGACAGGAGGAGCGCAGAGGGATAGGTGGGGGGCAGTGTGACAGGGGGCATGGGACAGGATCGTGGCAACTGGACAGGAGGAGCGCAGAAGGATAGGTGAGGGGCAGTGGGACAGGAGGAGTGCAGAAGGATAGGTGGAGGGCAGTGGGGACAGATGGGTGGTAGTGGGACAATGTGGGGGACAGGAGGGGGAAGTGGAACAGGTGTGGGGCAGGGTGACATATGCGGGCAGGGGGCAGTGTGTAATGAATGAGGGGCAATGGGAAGGGAAGAAGAACAGGTGGGGGGCAGTGTACCAGGGGACAGTGAGACAGGACCGAGGGAGCACCAGTCCTCCAAGCACTTACCTGTCCAGCAGCGGCTCCTCCAGATGGTGTCAGGATCATTCCTGTGTCTGTGTCCCTTCTCCCCCACGATCTCCGGCAGCAGCTGCAAAGGAGCGGGCCGGCTCTGTCCCCCTGACCTCATCCTCTTCTGCTTTCTCATTGCTGGTACCTTCTGGCCTTCCTGCAGATCCCTGCACACTGACAGCGGGCCCCGCCCCTCATGCGCTCCGAGCGCACACCGGGGATCCGCCCACCACTCCGCTCTCCTCTGCAGCCGGTCCCTCAGCCATGGCGGCCCTGCCCCTGTCCCTTTCCCACGGAAGTGTCCCTTCTGTGGGAAAGGGGGGGCACTGCCCCTGAAAAGTGCTGCCCTAGGCAAATGCCTAGGTTGCCTCGCAGCAAATACGCCCCTGCACCAGTGCCCAGCAGTGCTGCCAGTCAATGCCACCAGTCAGTGCCCAGCAGTTGTGCCAGTCAGTGCCCAGAAGTTGCACCAGTTGTCATGGAAAATTTGTATTTACAGGTTGAACTTTAAATGTGTCATATATTAGTGTTATTCATATGTCTCTCGTGTGGCTTAATTAAAGCTCTGAAGGCTGCAATTGGGCCATGCGCATGTACAATGTATGTATTACAGTACTCAGCTCGGTAATGGATGAGATGGCAGATCTGCGCTTATAGACCGGTGTGTATACCACCACGGCATTCGATGCGAATGCTTCCGGCGGAGAGACCGCGGGCCTGTATCCACATATCAGCAGCATAGTACCACATGGACTTCGTACCGCAAGGCGTCAGGCAGTGCGAACTCCGTGTGTAGGCTCATGTATATCTTACAAGCCATTACCGACCTGAAACTGTATCTGGATGGATGTGTTTTAATAAAGATCGTATCGGGCCCATTCAGATACAGACTGGCACTGTTTAATCTAAGGGATGCTTGTACAGAGAATTTACATACCACTAGGAGCTAATAGGATGGGAAGTTTGCTCTCCTCAGAGAGTTCATGGGGGGGGGGAGGGGAGGACTGGTGATAGATAAGAGAAAAAAGGCTACGCTCCAATCGGAATGTACATCCTGTGTATAGGCACTCCCCATGCATTGTTCTGTGGGAGGGGATTGACCTGACTCATGTGGGTCGTGTGTGTGTGTGTAATAAAACCAGGGGCTGAGTCTGAAGCCGGCCTCTATGTGAATTCCAACAGCAACCTGAGAGTGTCGTGTGATCATTCCTGGGTACCTGGAGCTCCATTTCCTCACATCTCAAGATAGCTAACCCAGTTGGAGGTGCAGGAATCATGGAGCTAAGCTGCAGTCGCGGTAAGCGAAGTTCGCACAGCTTTATGGGGGATTTCTGCGCATCCAACTGCGAGTACTCACGGTAACGAAAAATTCGTTCAAAAGCGAATTTCCAAGACAGTTTGGTGAGCCAGTGGATCCTAACGCGAATTCTTGGATAGCTAACCGAGTACGAGGGGGGAATGAGCTATCATGAACTAGCAAAAAGTATGCCGGCACATTTCAGGTCTCTCTACCGTTAAGAGGATCGCTTTTTGCACGTTCGTGTGGCTGATTTCGCTCTCTGTTAGCTAACGTGAATTCCGCTTAGCAAGGACCTAGTTGTCCTAAAATCTTGATTTGTGGGATAAAGACAAGGGTTTTTCTCTGCTGAGAGCAGCAGAGGGTGGGTTTGGTTGGCTGGATTTGGTCAAGTTTAAAAATCTTTCAACCAAAAATTAAACGGGTATAGGTTTTAGCGGGTAAAAGTTTTTTGCATAGTTTAGGTAAGTATTTGCGGGTTGTAGGTACTGTGGTAATTGCTCTAACCCCCTCCACGTGAAGTAATTATTACAGTGCTGAAAGGTTTAGGTTAATCGTTAACTGTTGTAAGACCTTTGTGTGTATATAGTCTGTTCAGTGTTTTATCGGTACTACTGCTCCCAGCAAGCATGCAGCAGTGGGTCCTTTCTGTTACATGCGCATGTTAGTGTGATATGTTGGTGTTTTATGTCCGTTCTGTGATTGTGCCAAATTTGTGTTGTATGTGTACTGTATATTGTTGTGTAATTGTCCAGTGTATGTTCTGTCCAAAAGTCTGTTTTATGTAAGATGTTAGAGGCAATTTTGAGGCTAGTGTCTGCCATGTGCTTTCTCTGTTGGTGGCCATTTTACTGACTTCCATGTGCTTTCTCTGGTGGCCATTTTGTTGCCTACCACATGGGCAGCAATCTCTATGCAATGTGTATGCAGTTTTCTATATGCATTTGACCCACATTGTGTTTTTAATCCAAATTTTTACAGTTTAAGTTGTTTGCTTTTAGCTTTAAATTTGCATATTGCCAGACAATTTAAAGTGTGTTAAGCGAGTTTTTCCCTCACGTGTTCCACATTTAGTGAGCGCGGTGAAGTTTGGGTTTTTGCACATAGATTTCTTGTATAGTGATTATGTTTTTCTTGTGTTTTTCTTGTTAAAAGTAGTTCCTTATTGTAAAGCGGGTTTGTTTTAAAGCTGCTGCGTTGCGTGTTTCGCGTCCAGCAGACTTTTTGTGTAAACGCTTTTAGGTGGTTGCAGCGAAGATCGCGTGTGTAACGTGGTTCGTTTAGCGGCGCTGGTAGGAGTGATTTTTGCGTCAGCAACAGGGGTTATTTTTGGAGCACTTTTTCGGTTCACCTCTGTGTAATTGTTTTACTGCGAAACGTCCCGTGTTTTCCATAAGGCTCCACTTTGTCCTTTTTAACGTTTTTTTCAAGTTGAAAAGGGTTTTTTTCTGTGTGTATTAGGGAAGTTTTTTTCTTTACACAATTTTCCTAAAGGTCAGTTAGCAGGTTTCTGGGCAACCAGTGACCCATAAGTAACATCCAAGAACCCCTCCTTTTGTTTTGACTTGTGTTAGCTACTGTGTGCAGGGAGAGAAAAGCCACTTTTTCATCATTGTGCGGTGTGTGGCCTGCCAAACACAGTGGGTGATGAGAACCACATAAATTGCGCTGTGTGAGTGGGCGGTCCAGGGAAGTGTAACGCTTAGCCTGGTTACCACAAACACTTCGGGTGGTCAGGATCACATAAATTGCGCGCTGCGGGAGTGGGAGGTGTGCTCTCAGTCTGACCGCCACTTGATGCGCTTCAGGTGATCGATAAGAATCACATAAATTACGCTGTGCTGGGAAAGTGGTGGAATCAGGCCTCTCGGTAGGATCCCACCGAGTGCTCCAAGGGGTAAACAGGTACCCGGACGTGGGATATATACCAGTGACTAGTCACGATGGGCAGTAGTCAGTCCATGAAGAGAGAGGGGGAACCAGCCCTCTTCAGGGTAAGGACAGCTGCACAACTGATGAAGGAGAGTTTGGGGGGGAAGTCTACAGAACCCCTCAAAAGGTGGAATAAATGGTCGAAGGGTACCAGATGGGAAATTCCCCGGGAAGGTACATTTGACGCATGGAGGTGGGAAAAAAATTTAGGGCAGGTAGTTTTTGGCATGTCCCCTTCACCCCGGCAGACATCCTAGCACTATCGCACAGCTGAGCTCCCGGACTATCGGGTTAATCCGAGAGGATTTGCTCGAATGTTTGGACAAAACCAGTTCAGCTGTAGTATGAGCGGGTCGGATTGTGCGCAGATCCTGTCATGGAAATTTTGTATTTACAGGTTGAACTTTAAATGTGTCATATATTAGTGTTATTCATATGCTCTTCTCAGGTGTGGCTTAATTAAAGCTCTGAAGGCTGCAATTGGGCCATGCGCATTTACAATGTATGTATTACAGTACTCAGCTCGGTAATGGATGAGATGGCAGATCTGCGCTATATAGACCGGTGATGTATGCCACCACGGCATTCGATGCGAATGCCGCCGGCGCTGTAGGCCGCGGGCCTGTATCCACATATCAGCAGCATAGTACGCACATGGACTTCGTACCGCCAGGTGCCAAGCAGTGCGAACTCCGCGTGTAGGCTCATGTATATCTTACAAGCCATTACCGACCTGAACTGTATCTGGATGGATGTGTTTTTAATAAAGATTGTATCGGGCCCATTCAGATACAGACTGACACTGTTTAATCTAGGGGATGCTTGTACAGAGAATGGACATACTGCTAGGAGCTGATAGTATGGGAAGCCTGCTCTCCACAGAGAGCTCACCATGGGAAAGGGGAGAACTGGTTTCCAGTATAGATAAAAGGAAAGGCTATGCTCCAATCAGAATGTACATTCTGTGTATAGACACTCCCCATTGCATTGTTCTGTGGGAGGGGATTGACCTGATCCCCCCCCCCCCCCTGCGCTGGGTTGGGGGGGGGTGTGTGTTTGTAATAAAACCGGAGGCTGAGAATGAAAACGCTCGCTATGTGAATTCCAACAGCAACCTGAGAGTGTCGTGTGATCATTCCTAGGTAACTGGAGCTCCATTTCCCCACATCTCGAGATAGCTAAACCAGTTGGAGGTGCAGGAATTGTGGAGTTTAGCTGCAGTCGCGGTAGCGAGATTTGCACAGCTTTATGGGGGATTGCTGCGCATCCAACTGTGAGTACTCACGGTAAGGAGAAATTCGTTAAAAACTAATTTCCAAGACAATCCTGCAGGCAAAGGTGGGCATGGAAGTGGCCAGTGCAGTGATTGCAGGGTGCTCTATAACCACTCATGAGGAGATGACTTCAGGGGGCAAAGAGTTTTGTGCACAGCTAAAGGCAAAGCTTCCAGAAATGTATGGTGCTACCTCTACTACGGACATGATGAAAGCTCACCCAGGGTCCTAATGAGGAAAGCGCCTGCTTCTGGCGCCGTCTCAAGCAGACGGCACTGGATGCGGATCTGGAAGTTGGACCTGATGCTCCAACTGAAGGGGTAAAGGTGACCACGACGCACATTCTGTTGCGGGCCAAATTTTTGGAAGGCATCAATATTAAAATTCAGGAAAGGCTGGTTCTGGCCCAACCCGAATATAATGAGATGTCTATCCCTGCTATCCTTTCCACTTGCGGCAATAGAGAGGGAAATGGATAGGAGAAAACAGGACAAGGCCAAAGTTCTTATGTCCCAGACCCCACACGAAAAACCAAGGGATCTGGGTCACAGGAAGGATAGGCCCCCTCCCAGGTGTTTTCAGTGCCACCAAACGGGGCACATGAGGAGGAGCTGTCCCCAGTCACTTAAAGGTCGGTGGCAGTTCATTCCTGATGAGTCCTCCACCCCTGTCACCACTATGGTAAGTAACTCCTATGAATCCTCATAGGAAGTTGACAAATCAGTGTCGGCCCAGGTCCATCTTTTTCTAGAGGAATTAAAATATCCCCTCCTTTGCCTCACCGACACCAGTGCAGCAAGAACGGTCTTGCGAAAACAGGACATCCAAAGCAAGGTACTGTCATGGACATTTTGTATTTACAGGTTGAACTTTAAATGTGTCATATATTAGTGTTATTCATATGTCTCTCGTGTGGCTTAATTTAAGCTCTGAAGGCTGCAATTAGGCCATGCGCATTTACAATGTATGTATTACAGTACTCAGCTCGGTAATGGATGAGATTGCAGATCTGCGCTTATAGACTGGCGTGTATACCACCACGGCATTCGATGCGAATGCCGCCGGCGGTAGGCTGCGGGCCTGTATCCACATATCAGCAGCATAGTACCACATGGACTTCGTACCGCCAGGCGCCAAGCAGTGCAAACTCCGTGTGTAGGCTCATGTATATCTTAGAAGCCATTACCGACCTGAACTGTATCTGGATGGATGTGTTTTAATAAAGATCGTATTGGGCCCATTCAGATACAGACTGACACTGTTTAATCTAGGGGATGCTTGTACAGAGAATGGACATACTGCTAGGAGCTGATAGGATAGGGGGAAGTTTACTCTCCTCAGAGAGCTCACCATGGGAAAGGGGGAGGGAGAACTGGTTTCCAGTATAGATAAAAGGAAAGGCTATGCTCCAATCAGGATGTACATTCTGTGTATAGACACTCCCCATGCATTGTTCTGTGGGAGGGGATTGACCTGACTCATGTGGGGGGCATGTGTGTGTTTTTGTAATAAAACCGGAGGCTGAGAATGAAAACGGTCTCTATGTGAATTCTAACAGCAATCTGAGAGTGTCGTGTGATCATTACTAGGTAACTGGAGCTCCATTTTCCCCACATCTCGAGATAGCTAAACCAGTTGGAGGCGCAGGAATCGTGGAGTTTAGCTGCAGTCGCGGTAAGCGAGATTCGCACAGCTTTATGGGGGATTGCTGCGCATCCAACTGCGAGTACTCACGGTAAGGAGAAATTCGTTCAAAGCAAATTTCCAAGACAGTTTGGCGAGCCAGTGGATCCTAACGCGAATTCTGGGATAGCTAACCGAGTACGAGGGGGGAATGAGCTATCATGAACTAGCAAAAAGTATGCCGGCACATTTCAGGTCTCTCTACCATTAAGAGGATCGCTTTTTGCGCGTTCCTGTGGCTAATTTCGCTCTCTGTTAGCTAACGTGAATTCCGCTTAGCAAGGACCTAGTTGTCCTAAAATCTTGATTTGTGGGTGAAAGACAAGGGTTTTTCTCTGCTAAGAGCAGCAGAGGGGTGGGTTTGGTTGGCTGGATTTGGTCAAGTTTAAAAATCTTTCAACCAAAAAAAATTAAACGGGTATATGTTTTAACGGGTAAAAGTTTTTGCATAGGTTAGGTAAGTATTTGCGGGTTGTAGGTACTGTGGTAATTGCTCTACCCCCTCCACGTGAAGTAATTATTACAGTGCTGAAAGGTTTAGGTTAATCATTAACTGTTGTAAGACCTTTGTGTGTATATAGTCTGTGCAGTGTTTTGTCGGTACTACTGCTCCCAGCAAGCATGCAGCAGTGGGTCTTTTCTGTTACATGCGCATATTAGTGTGATATGTAGGTGTTTTATGTCTGTTCTGTCATTGTGCCAAATTTGTGTTGTATGTGTACTGTAAATTGTTGTGTAATTGTCCAGTGTATGTTTTGTCCAAAAGTCTGTCTGTTTTATGTAAGAGGTTAGAGGCAATTTTGAGGCTAGTGGTTTTCTCTGGTGGTGGCCATTTTACTGACTGCCATGTGCTTTCTCTGGTGGTGGCCATTTTGTTGACTACCACATGTGCAGTAATCTCTGTGCAATGTATATGCAGTTTTCTATATGCATTTGACCCATTTTGTGTTTTAATCCAAATTTTTACAGTTAAGTTTGCTTTTAGCTTTAAATTTGCGTATTGCCAGCCAATTTAAAGTGTGTTAAGCGAGTTTTCCCCCCTCACATGTTCCACATTTAGTGAGCGCGGTGAAGTCTGGGTTTTTGCACATAGATTTCTTGTATAGTGATTATGTTTTTCTTGTGTTTTTCTTGTTAAAAGTAGTTCCTTATTGTAAAGCGGGTTTGTTTTAAAGCTGCTGCGTTGCGTGTTTCGCGTCCAGCAGACTTTGTGTAAACAGTTTTAGGTGGTTGCAGTGAAGATCGAATGTGTAATGCGGATCGTTTAGCGGCACTGGTAGGAGTGATTTTCGCGTCAGCAACAGGGGTTATTTTTGGAGCAGTTTTTCGGTTCACCTCTGTGTAATTGTTTTATTGCGAAACGTCCCGTGTTTTTTCCAGGGAAGTGTAACGCTTAGCCTGGTTACCACAAACACTTCGGGTGGTCAAGATCACATAAATTGCACTGTGGGAGTGGGAGGTGTCATGGAAATTTTGTATTTTTGGTTGAATTTTAAATGTGTCATATATTAGTGTTATTCATATGTCTCTCGTGTGGCTTAATTAAAGCTCTGAAGGCTGCAATTGGGCCATGCGCATGTACAATGTATGTATTACAGTACTCAGCTCGGTAATGGATGAGATGACAGATCTGCGCTTTATATAGACGGGGTGTATACCACCACGGCATTCGATGCGAATGCCGCCGGCGGTAGACCGCGGGCCTGTATCCACATATCAGCAGCATAGTACCACATGGACTCCGTACCGCAAGGTGCCAAGCAGTGCGAACTCCGCGTGTAGGCTCATGTATATCTTACAAGCCATTACCAACCTGAAACTGTATCTGGATGGATGTGTTTTAATAAAGATCGTATCGGGCCCATCCAGATACAGACTGATGTTTCTAGGAGATGCTTGTACAGAGAATTTACATACCACTAGGAGCTAGGACAGGAATTCTGCTGACCTCAGAGGGCTCGTGGGGGAGGACCAGTGATAGATAATGTAGCAAACTAGCTCATCCAGCTGGAAGCAGAGTTCTCCTTTACCTTGTTGTATTTGAGGTATTCCTTGAATCATTCCTCACATCCCCCCCCCCTTTGCATTCCTGTGGGGCAGAGTTTATCTCCTGGCAGATGATGTGGAACAACCAGGCTAAGACATGAGAAGTGGAGCCAGCCTGTCTGCGGACGTGTCACTTTGGTCAACCAAAGCTATGTAAGCCCCACACCTTATCAAACTGACCAGAGTAAATGCACAATCCTCAGGTCAACTGTATGGTTCATATCACGGGATATGAAGCTGGTAATTTAGTGTAGAGTTTCCCAATGACCACTCCCAAAACGTGTAGTCAGAGCCCCCCCTCCCCTTTGAGAGGGACCTTTAAGAGAGTCAAGTGAGTTAGTCGGGGTGACTCACAAGACTCACACAGAGAGATCTCCCAGCAACATCGTAACAAGAGGACATCAAAGAAATCACCCTGCTCACAACTTGGACTGCAAACCCAGGCATATGGGCAAGTAACTCAACCCTGTAATCTTCTTCCTAATTATCTCTTTGCTGTGTCTTTATATACATATATATATATATTTTGTGACATCTTTGTAAATATTTATTTGCATCTGTTTGACCCTGTTAGAAATAAATCTTTCTTTCTAAAAGTGTTACTAAGGGCTTACTTGCAATTCACGAATCCCTGCCTTTGAAGAGACGCTACTGTTTGTATATCTCTGTATAGCAGGTCCGCGGGGCCCTGCTATATAGATCAATATTTCAATCATTATAGTGTATATTTGATAACGGGAGTTTTTCCCAGTCTCCGACAAAAGTGGTGGTGGCAGTAGAGGGTTAGTTGTGTAACTAACCCGACCCAGTAACAAGCGCATTCAGGCTCCAGGCACCGATTGTAGTCCATTAGCTGGGCAATCGCTGTGTAGGGTGCAGCTGGGTGGGGCCTTGTTACGCGCGTCACACCGCGGTTTTGGATCGGCCGGCCCTTCGGTCACGAGTTTGGTGAGAAGGTCTGGGGTCTGACGCCGTGGACGTGACGTATTACTGTTAGTCGCGGCTGTGCGATTGTCGCCTGTTGGTGGCGGCGACTGCGGGTTGTGACAGATAATAGGAAAGGCTACGCTCCAATCGGAATGTACATCCTGTGTATAGGGCACTCCCCATGCATTGTTCTGTGGGAGGGGATTGACCTTATTCATGAGGGGGGCATGTGTCTGCTTGAAAATAAAAATCGGAGGCTGGAGTTGGATCCGCCTCTTTGTGAATTCCAACAGCAACCTGAGAGTGTCGCCTGATCATTCCTGGGTAAACCGAAACTCTATTCCCCACATCTCAAGATAGCTAACCCAGTTGGAGGGGCAGGAATCGTGGCGTTTAGCTGCAGTCGTGGTAAGCGAGATTCACACAGCTTTATGGGGGATTTCTACGCATCCAACTGCGAGTACTCACGGTAAGGAGAAATTCGTTCAAAGCGAATTTCCAAGACAGTTGTGTGCTCTCAGTCTGACCGCCACTTGATGAGCTTCGGGTGATAGATAAGAATCACATAAATTACGCTGTGCTGGGAAAGTGGTGGAATCAGGCCTCTCGGTAGGATCCCACCGAGTGCTCCAGGGGGTAAACAGGTACCCGGACGCGGGATATATACCAGTGACTAGCCACGATGGGCAGTAGTCAGTCCATGAAGAGAGAGGGGGAACCAGCCCTCTTCAGTATAAGGACAGCTGCACAACTGATGAAGGAGAGTTTGGGGGGGGAAGTCTACAGAACCCCTCAAAAGGTGGAATAAATTGTCGAAGGGTACCAGATGGGCAAATTCCCCAGGAAGGTACATTTGACGCATGGAGGTGGGAAAAATTCATCTCTGAATTTGAACCACGGATGCAGGCGTCAGAACTAGGGATCGCACAGCTATGGCTTCAAAAGTCAATCCGATTAGGGAAGCAGGGCATACATAAACTGGTGTCTGTCCGGAAGAACCAGGTGATGTATACCTGGCCTCCAGAGGGAATAAAACAGGAGGATCCAGTGTCAGAGGTGGAGGAAGCTCTTTCAGGGCTGACTACTACTAGGCAGGCAGGATCAGGGTCTGCTGGGGTTCCCGAACAACCAACAGTGGCTGAGAGATAAGTATAACTGCACCTGTCTCTTTTGCTAGTGACGTCACTCTTGACGTACCTTTCGTGTCTTCTATATCTGTGACGGGAGTGACTTTTGGGGGTGGGGGGACCTCTGTATCATCTTCCCAAATTCCCATTATGTTTAAGGCACCCTGTGCCTGTTAAGGGTTACAGGGTGTGTATGGGAATGTCTGAGTCTTGTGTATAGTGTGTGTTCCTTTGTCTAGTCCACATGGCTGTCCATTGTCTGTTTGCCATGTGCTACCCCCCATTGTGCTGTGTCTTCCTGTCCAGCCAACTATTATGGGATGTACTGTTTGTGTATTGGTGTGGGGGTTGGTCAATGTCCTTTGCCGCATGGCTGCATCCCATTGTTCTGTGTCTTGGGATGGTTGGGGTGGTTCCCTGTAGCCCTTCCCACTGATAGGGCGGGCTGATGATGTATTTCCTGTTCCTGTTGTTGTGTTTCCCCGCCCTCTGTATATATTCTGTGTTTTGTGTTAAAATAAAGAGTTGGCTTTCTGTTTTAAGAGCTGGGTGCTGTCTTTTTCCTGAGAGACTTCAGAGTGGGGTCCGTGGATGGTGTTCGGACAGCGGAAGCTGCGGGATAACGGAATATACCCAAGTGCAGTCGGGTACCGGTTCCATTACAATATCTATGCCTCAGCCTCTACCTCTCTCCCTTCTCCCTGCTTCACCCCAGCTCCTTCTGTTTCCAACTACGAAGTCTTCTCAACAACCGATTTGCAGACTATCTGCGAATCAAGGGGAATAGACACCCGGTTAAGAAACAGGGCGGATTGCATCAAAGCGCTACGAGCCACTGATCAGACCCCTGCCCCCCAGCTATACCCTGATCTGAGGGACCTCAAACCTGAAGGTGCAGTAAGTGAGGTGGTTAATCTAAGCCCACCGATGAAGCTGGGCCAGCCCTTGCACTCTTCCCAGACCAAGGCCTATCCAGTCAGGGTGCAGCAATTTGAAGGTTCCCCCAATGCACAGGGGGAGCAGACTTTAGGGGAACAGGTAGTTTGGCATGTCCCCTTCACCCCGGCAGAGATCCGCACTATTCTGGCTGAGCTCCCGGACTATCAAGTCAATCCGAGAGGATTTGCTCGAATGTTTGGACAAAACCAGTTCAGCTATGGTATGAGCGGGTCGGATTGTGCGCAGATCCTGCGGGCAAAGGTGGGCATGGAAGTGGCCAGTGCAGTGATTGCAGGGTGCTCTATAACCACTCATGAGGAAATGACTTCAGGGGGCAAAGAGTTTTTGTGCACAGATAAAGGCAAAGCTTCCAGAAATGTATGGTGCTACCTCTACTACAGACATGATAAAGCTCACTCAAGGTCCTAATGAGGAAAGCGCCTGCTTCTGGCGCCGCCTCAAGCAAATGGCACTGGATGCGGATCTGGAAGTTGGACCTGATGCTCCAACTGAAGGGGTAAAGGTGACCGCGACGCACATTCTGTTGCGGGCTAAATTTTTGGAAGGCATCGATACTAAAATTTTGGGAAAGGCTGGTTCTGGCCCGACCCGAATATAATGAGATGTCTATCCCTGCTATCCTTTCCACTCTTGCGGCAATAGAGAGGGAAATGGATAGGAGAAAACAGGACAAGGCCAAAGTTCTTATGTCCCAGACCCCACACGAAAAACCAAGGGATCTGGGTCACAGGAAGGATAGGCCCCCTCCCAGGTGTTTTCAGTGCCACCAAACGGGGCACATGAGGGGGAGCTGTCCCCAGTCACTTAAAGGTCGGTGGCAGTTCATTCCTGATGAGTCCTCCGCCCCTGTCACCACCATGATAAGTAACTCCTATGAATCCTCATAGGAAGTTGACAAATCAGTGTCGGCCCAGGTCCATCTTTTTCTTGAGGAATTAAAACATCCCCCTCCCTGCATCATCGACACCGGCGCAACCAGAACGGTCTTGCGAAAACAGGACATCCAAGGCAAGGTACCCCTCTCAGGGGAAAGCCCTCCTAACCCCTACTAACCTCACCATCAAACGATGCACTATTCTTAACCCAGCTTCTCTTCTTCCTGTGTCGGAAGACGAGAAGGGGGGGGAGGACAGCAACGACAGTGCTGAATTTTGCAACCTGACTAACGATACTAACACCTCTTATGCTAACATGTCTTCTTTTTCCACTACTAACCTCTCTTCCAAAGGACACGACTGCATTTCTCTGATGGAACTGGAGTCAGCGGCGATCAGCCCGGTGAAGGAAACGCCACTACCGGAAGCGAAAAATCTTTTTGTCGATGGGTCCAGGTACTACACCCAAGATGGTAAGCCACACACTAGTTGTGGAAAAGGGCTCTTTGAATGCACATATGTTGGCTCAGGAAGCTGAGCTGTGGGCACTGGCCAGGGCATGGGAGTTGCGTGGCCCGTTACGTGTGTGCCAATGCTAGTACCACGGCGAAGAAAATCCTATCTGAGGTTGTGTGCCGCTGGGGTCTACTTGAAACCATCGAGTCCGATAGGGGGGGTCACACTTCACTGGACAGATCTTTGCAGAGGTATGTAAAGCCCTTCACATCAACCAAGGGCCACACACCCCGTATCACCCCCAGAGTAGCGGTAAGGTTGAACGTCTCAACGGAATCCTTAAAAACAGGATCTCCAAAATCATAGCCGATACCCAAAAACCTTGGCCTGAGTGTCTCCCCATTGCCCTCTATTCCATCCGGAATGCCCCTCGGCAACCACATGGGCTGTCACCCTACGAAGTGTTGTTTGGGGGACCTCCCAAAACAGGGTTGTACTTTCCTCAACAGTTGTCGTCTTTGCATTCACAGCTTACAGGTTACGTGCAATCTCTGCAACGGGAGCTGCAGCAGATACACCACTGGGTTCGCAAAGCGCTCCCGGATCCAAATGCAAAAAACGGGTGTTCTTTCTATTGAGCCAGGTGATTGGGTCGTCCTAAAGAAACATCAAAGAACCGGACTCGAGCCACGGTTCACTGGACCATACCAGGTCCAGCTGACGACACCTACCTCACTCAAGCTCGAGGGACGAGACAACTGGGTGCACGCAAGCCACTGCAAGAAGCTTTTCAGCTACACCAGAGAATGAGGGGTGTCATTTTCCTTTTTTTTTTTTTTGTATGTCCTACATGTGTGTGTTTTTAAAATGCATCTGTGATTAGCCAGAACCGCCAACAAAACCAACTGTTGGGTATGCTCTAAGCCCCCACCCAGTCATCACATGTCCGCAATGGCCGCTGTTCATGCCCTATATGACATCCGTGTCGGCATGAAAAAAACAAGGGACCCCTGGTCAGCCCCCACGTAGACATTTGTCGGTAGAACTTAATGACACACATTTTTAGCAGGTAACATCAGTTTTAGCACCAATATTAGCTCTAGCTCCTGTAAGGCCCTCACCAGTCCATTATGGGTAACTGGACAGCTAGGCAGCCCTCAGGTGTGCTTTAACATCAGCTTTGGCACAGGTAATAAGTTTGTTGGGACTACCACCTGTGAGGGAGGTATAACTGTCAATCTGACTAACCGGACTTCCCTTCTGAGTAACTACACTGACCGACCAGACCACGTTTGTTGGAAGGACGGATGTGATGTGCAGACTGAAGGAGCAATCCCCCAGTCTGTGCAACTGTTACTCAGTGCCAGAGGCCGAACGAAGAACTCCTCCTGCTCTGCTCTGACACGTCCGTACTATTTTCTGTGTGGTTCGGCAGCCTATAGAACATTTCCCCAGAACGCGAAAGGTTTGTGTGCCCTCATAAAGCTAGTCCCCGCATCCTATGTAGTGATGGATCATGAAGAGTTGATGGTCCACAAGAAGGTAAGGATGGCAGGGAGAGTTCGCAGGGAGCTGTTCTCCGAGGGCGACCAGGCATGGGCTTGGTTCCCCTCATGGACAGGTTGGGGAATAGAACTTATGAAGCGCCTGAACAATTTTTCTGTCATCGTGGATAGTATGTTTAACGAGACCGTAGAGGCTGTCAGAGAAATTGCCCAAGAACAACGGCAGATGGGAATTCTGGTGCTTCAGGAGAAGATGGCCCTTGATTACCTTTTAGCCGCCAAAGGGGGGTTCTGTGAGTTCATCGGAGAGGATTGTTGTACTTGGATAGAAGATACCGATGACAAGGTCCAGGCCCATATGGACAAAGTTAGTGAACTACAGGGAAAAGCTAGAGCTATAGCTAGTGAGGGTTGGAATCCGTTCAAGGGTTTGGGAGGATTGGGAGATTTCCTGTTCTCCGTCGGATCCTGGTTGAAGGAAGTGGGAGTGTATGTCCTGATGCTTCTCTTTTTCCTCTGCCTCTTATATGCCGCGGTGAGATGTTCCTGTTGCCTCATCAGCGTGTAAGCCAAGCTCGGGCAGACGACCACATCTCCATGCCCACTCCTGGGATCCCACTCCAACCACTGATCGGAGGAAGACCTCACCAACCAGCCACCTTCTCTGCAGGTTACGTCCTGGCTTCCCTCTAATTTATCACCCTGAAGACCATGTTCTCCAAGACCTCCAAGCAAGCTTCAAGCCTCATCATTGTTTGTGTCTGCGTTTTGGAAAACCGTCTGGGTCGAGACCAGCCTTGTGTGGCCCCGTCTGCAGGGGCAATTTGAGAATCTGCTGCTGGATCTCCCCGGACCACCGTGGGATCACAAGCCCTATTTATACCACAAGTCTGTTTGTGGTTTTTGCAAGAGCCTTCCTGTAGTGAAGGTTCCAACGCTCTTGAGGATCATCGCTTCAATCAAGCCTGTTTGCGTCGAGTCTGCGTCGGGTCTTGTTGTTTCAGGTACCCGTGGAGCTTTATTCTCAGGGACAACTACAGGAACTCTGGTCTAAGACCAACTCTTTTTGAGGTTTTGGGACGACACCCATCAAGCTGAAAGAAGATCAAGAAGGGACACAAGGAGAATATGATAAAACAGGAGGGAATGTCATAGAAATTTTGCATTTACAGGTTGAACTTTAAATGTGTCATATATTAGTGTTGTTCATATGTCTCTCGTGTGGCTTAATTAAAGCTCTGAAGGCTGCAATTAGGCCATGCGCATTTACAATGTATGTATTACAGTACTCAGCTCGGTAATGGATGAGATGGCAGATCTGCGCTTATAGACCGGTGTTTATACCACCACGGCATTCGATGCGAATGCCGCCGGTGGTAGGCCGCGGGCCTGTATCCACATATCAGCAGCATAGTACCACATGGACTTCGTATGGCCAGGCGCCAGGCAGTGCGAACTCCGCGTGTAGGCTCATGTATATCTTACAAACCACTACCAACCTGAACTGTATCTGGATGGATGTGTTTTAATAAAGATCGTATTGGGCCCATTCAGATACAGACTGACACTGTTTAAACTAGGGGATGCTTGTACAGACAATGTACATACCACTAGGAGCTGATAGGATGGGAAGTTTTCTCTCCTCAGAGAGCTCATGGGGGGGGGGAGGACTGGTGTAACTGGCCCCCAGTATAGATAAAAGGAAAGGCTACGCTCCAATTGGAATGTACATTCTGTGTATAAGACACTCCCCATGTTCTGTGGGAGGGGATTGACCTGACTCGTGGGGGGCGTGTGTGTGCTTGTAATAAAACCGGAGGCTGAGATTGGAGCCAGTCTCTATGTGAATTCCAACAGCAACCTGAAGAGAGTGTCGCCTGATCATTCCTGGGTAACGGGAGCTCCATTTCCCCACATCTCAACAGAGCTAAACCAGTTGGAGGCGCAGGAATCGTGTGGAGCTAAGCTGCAGTCACGGTAAGCGAAGTTCGCACAGCTTTATGGGGGATTTCTGCGCATCCAACTACGAGTACTCATGGTAAGGAAAAATTTGTTCAAAGCGAATTTCCAAGACAAAAATACAACAGTAAAATCAGTCTGTATATGCAGTAAAGCATGCTTGTTATAGTCACTGTGGAATCTATGGGGTTAATCCTCTGCATTGTGTAAAAAGGATGTTTGATCCTGTCTTCTCTGATCCTTCCCTTCTACTGTCCCCAATCCATCTGCTGATAAAACAAAGCCTTGGGGTAAGCTGCACATGATCACTTTGGTGTGTATTGCTAGAGTTTTTTTTTTTTTTTTTTTGGGAGAGTGCATGTTATCAGCACAGGGCCAATCGGCGCTGTTCAGACAGAGGGTCAGGGGTCCTGCAGCCTCATAGAACAATCCTCCTACAGGCTTTAACTAGTGCTCTGCTGGACACTGATAGAAGTCACAAGACTGCTATATACAGCTGATGAGGAAAGGTATTTAGCAGTTTGTATTTATGAAAATAATAGCATTTTCATGTTCTGTGTACTGTGGGAGGCCAGATACAGTGAATGCAGGGCCCTGGGAGATCAGATACAGTGAATGTGGGGTCCTGGAAGACCAGATATAGTGAATGCAGGCTCTGTGGAGACCAGATATAGTGAATGCAGGGTCCGGGGAGATCAGATATAGTGAATGCAGAGTACATGGAGACCAGATATAGAGAATGCAGGGTCCTGGGAGATCAGATATAGTGAATGCAGGGTTCTGGGAGACCAGATATGGTGAATGCAGGGCCCTGGGAGATCAGATATAGTGAATGCAGGGTTCTGGGAGACCAGATATAGTGAATGCAGGCTCTGTGGAGACCAGATATAGTGAATGCAGGGTCCGGGGAGACCAGATATAGTGAATGCAGGGTCCTGGGAGATCAGATATATAGTGAATGCAGGGTCCAGGGAGGCCAGATATAGAGAATGCAGGGTCCTGGGAGATCCGGTGAGATCAGATATAGTGAATGCAGGGTCCGGTGAAATCAGATATAGAGAATGCAGGGTCTAGGGAGGCCCAGATATAGTGAATGCCAGGTAATGGGAGACCAGATATAGTGAATGCAGGGTCCTGGGCTTAGTAACACTTTAAAGTGGTTCTAAAGGCTCAAGGTTTTTTTTTTTTTTTACCATAGTCATATCATTCTATGCATTCTGCATGCATTTTCCCCCACTCCCCCCAATACTTACCTGAGCCTGATCTCATAGGATTAAAGACAGCAGTGGGAGCCATGGGCAGGGCCAAGTAGCGCTCTATTTGTCAGTGGACACACGAAGCACGACTTGGGAGAGAGCCCGCATAAGTGCCCCCACACCAAGCAGCTTGCTATGGGGGCACTGGCAGGAGACTGGGCTGCTCTGTGAAAAACATTTTGCAGAGCAGGTGAGTATAACATGTTTGTTATGAAAAAAAAAATCCTTTGGTAGGTAGAACAGCTCCCATGTATATTTTGTTCTGTGTATTTAGCTGTCTGCCTGGAGTTCTCCTTTAAATGAAGAGCAAAATAGCTTCTGATTAGTACCTATAATGTTAAAATGTGAAAAATATACAAATCAAAAATAATAGCGCAAACCAAATCACACAACTAAATATAACCACCCCCAAATAAGTGCATATTAATAGTGCAAACAAAAAATCAATAAATAGGGAATCTCAATATAGTCCATTCAGAAAAGTCCATATAAACATGATCCTCCGTAAATGAAGTAATGAGATCCTCCTTCATAAGCAATGTGGTATTCAGTGCTCAAAAACACCCCCCATTAAAATGCACACTCACCATGTGCTAGTAATTAACCAGCATGTTAGTATATATATCCAGCATTCACCAAACAGGCTTCAAAGGACGATCCTCATGTGTTGGTAATTACTCAGCATACTACTATGTATCCAGCATATCACCAAACAAACTCCAGAGAAGATCCTCTCATATCCAGATTAGCACATGTGGGTAAAGAAAATACTCGCCATAGTGCAGTATCGTCCAACAAATTTATTGCCAAATAAACCCCCCTTAAAATCACACTCACAATGAGCAAATAAAAACAAGGCGTTTTGTTATATCAGAGCTCCAGTCTCTGCATCCTGTGTCTCACCAGCCAGCCCGCATTCAAGATGGTAATAGCGCGATCATGTGATCCAGACACGTGCATCAGCATGAGTAGTGATGTCACAGGAAGGCCACACTCTGACGCGTTTCGTCCAATGACTTCAATGACAGCATCCAGTGAGTGTATTTCCTCTCTTTATTACATTGGTGCAATGATGTTATTATAATAGAAGTGTTGTATTTATTGGAACATTTCTTTGGTAACTAACTTTTTAGTACCTATAATGTGTTTGCTTGTTCTGGTCTTATTCAGTACCGTATACATGACTTTCATGACATAAGCAAATACACTCTTTTCTTTTTTTTTCAAACTTAGGGCCAGTTCACACCAGAAAGCAGAACAGGAAAGGCGCGTTTCATGCAACTTTCCCCGCACTGCAAGTGAACGCACTGCCCTTGCAAATGTATTGTTAATGGCATCCCAAATGCAGCTTGCAAACGCAGTGCATTTGCGGCCACAAAATCGCACGGTACTGCAAGCACTGCTTTTCCCGTGGTGCAGTGCGTTTTGCAGCCTATTCAAATAAAACACACAGCAGTTAGTCAGCAAAACAGGATGATTGTTGTACGCTGCACCTTAGCGATTAGTAGAGCCACAGGGGCCCCAAAAAACAGCATCTGTTTGCATACAAGGAGGGTTATTCTTCTCTAAAATTGCAGTTCTGTTCAGGGGAACACTTTTGGTATAAATAGTGATTCCTGGAGTCCTTCTCTAATCTAACATACCTTGTGTTTCTTTCACGTGCAGCGGGGCTGTGATCTACAGACGGAGCATGAGAAATATTTGGTCCGACATTGTGGGGACGTCCCTGTATTCGTCATCAACTATCCATATGACCTCAAACCTTTCTCTGCTCGAGGCAATGAGGATGGGCCTCAGCGTACCATTAGAACTCAATGTGACGGATCGATCACAATCAGATTACTATAGTACTTGATTAACACATTTCATTATTTGAATTTCTTATAAAATAGAATGAGCCCTTTTGCTGCTTGGGCCCTATTTTTTTTGCACACATTAAAATGTACATTTTGGGTCTGGAGAGTATTTAAAATTCCCGAACCTATATACACGGCTCAAAAAAATGAAATGAACACTTTGAAAACCCATCAGATCTAAATGGGGAAAAATCTCCTGCTGGATCTCTATACTGATATGGACGGGGTAATGTGTTAGGAATGTAAGGATGTCCATCGTTTGATTTTCGGGGTGTCTTTGGATTTAGTCCTCTGTAGGTTGATAATTTTTATTGCCATCAAAGTGAAGAAATAATGCAGCAGGCTAGTCCATTTTTCCAAATTGAAATTTCATTGCACCAATCAGAATGGTTCTCGGTAGTTTGTATGGCCCCCACGTGCTTGTATGCATGCCTGACAACATTGGGACATGCTCCCAATGAGACAATGGATGGTGTCTGGGGGTATTTCCTCCCAGATCTGGACCAGGGCATCACTGAGCTCCTGGACAGTCTGAGGTGCAACCTGGCGGTGTCGGATGGACTGAAACATGATATCCCAGAGGTGTTCTATTGGATTTAGGTCAGGTGAGAGTGGGGGCCATTCACTGGTATCAATTCCTTCATCCTCCAGGAACTGCCTGCATACTCTCACTACATGAGGCCGGGTATTATTGTGCACCAAGAGGAACCCAGGACCCACTGCACCAGTGTAGGGTCTGACAATGGGTCCAAGGATTTCATCCGATACCTAATGGCATCAGGGTGCCATTGTTCAGCCTGTAGAGGTCTGTGTGTCCCTCCATGGATATACCTCCCCAGAGCATCACTGACCCACCACCAAAACGGCCATGCTGAACGATGTTACAGGCAGCATAACGTTCTCCACGGGCTTCTCCAGACCCTTTCACATCTGTCACATGTGCTCAGGGTGAACCTGCTCTCATCTGTGAAAATCACAGGGCGCCAGTGGTGGACCTGTCAATTCTGGTGTTCAATGGCAAATGCCAATGGAGCTCTATGGTGCCGGGCAGTGAGCACAGGGACCACTAGAGGACGTCATGCCCTCAGGCCACCCTCATGAAGTCTGTTGATTGTAGACCTACACAAGGCTGGACTGGGCTACCAAACTATCGCCAAGCAGCTTGCATCACCGGTCTTTTCCAGCAGTTTGGAGACAACTGCTTGGAGACCAGCAGTGCACCTGCGCAAGTGCGTTTTTTTTTTTTTTGATTGGTGGCTTGTTAGAAGGGTGGGGGAGGTAAGTCTCGAGCATTTTAATCCCACTTTAATAAAATAGATATAAACGAAAAAGTTAGAAAATGGTTGAGGGGAGAAGGGAAAGAAGGAGTTAATTTGGGCTGATTTGGGTAGACTAAGGTTTAATAAGGGGTTGAAAAGACAAATTTTATTTTAATAAATGTGTTTTTCCTCTTGTCAGGCTGCTTTAACTGACAGGATATGCAGATTGAAATTATGTGCGGTTACAGACATTTTACCGCATTGTAAAAACGTCTGTCACCGCAGGCACACAAAGGAAACAATTGTTTCTTATGTGTCCCATTCACACTGCAACGCAGCCTAGTGCTGCGCTAAAATGCAGACATGCTGCACTTTATCGCATCATACTGCATGACATTGCAGTGAATGAAGTGTACATTTTGTACATTTCAAATAAAGCTTATGCAGAAACCAAAAAAAAAAAAAAAGGGGGCAGTACAATGCGCTGATTCGCGCACCACACTACCCCCTAGGGCAGCTGGCGACAGAGAGCTTTCACAGAAGTAAAGTGCTGCAGTAGCACTCCTTACATTGTGAATCAGCAGCCCTAACCCCCGGTTCACACATATGCGGCCGTGCGAGCCGCGTTTTGCTCGGGCACGAGAGCCCATTCATTTGAATGGACTCCAGTGCCCGTGACACGCAGGGAAAGAAGTCCCTGCACTTGTTTGGAAAACGCAGCCCTCACGGGACCCTCGGTTCCCACTACGGTTACGTTTCCCAGTGCGGGTGGCGTGCCATTAGAACTAATGGAACATGCCTGCGGGTCCGCAATTTTCTGTGTGGGTGGTGCGGCTGCACGGATTTTCGTGCGGATCTGCAGCGGCACCACCCGCATAGATGTGAACCTAGGGTAAGACCCCGGTCATATCATTGTGACTTGTCATGGAATTTGATAGTTTCAAATCAACATGACAAGTCGCACCCTATTGTCTGCAATTGAAGCTGTCAAATTGGTGCGATTCCGACTTCATCAGAGTTGCACCGATTTTGAAATCAGTGCATGCACTACTTTTTGCAAGTTCAGGGGCAACTTGCATAGCCACATGTGCCTATGAAAGTCACACAGATGTCTTGCAAGTTGCACCTGAAGTCGCACTGACATCCAACTTTGAAATCGTGCGACTTTAAGTGAAGTTGCACAATTTCAAAGTCTGATTCGGTGTGACCGAGCACTAAAATGTAGTAGGTACAAAAGTAATACTGTTACATTGTATCTGTCTTATGTATGAATGTGAATTAGGGACCTTAGATTGTACACCCCTAGAGGGTTAGGGACTGATGTGAATGTACAATATACAGTGGGGATTGAAAGTTTGGGCACCCCAGCTAAAAATTTCTATTAATGTGCATAAAGAAGCCAAGGAAAGATGGAAAAATCTCCAAAAGGCATCAAATTACAGATTAGACATTCTTTATAATATGTCAACAAAAGTTAGATTTTATTTCCATCATTTACACTTTCAAAATAACAGAAAACAAAAAAAAATAGCGTCCGCAAAAGTTTGGGCACCCTGCAGAGTTAATATCTTGTACTGCCCCCTTTGGCAAGTATCAC